CAGGAACTGTCCGAGGATGTGCTGCCTGAGTCACAGTGCGGTTTTAGGAAGGGACGTGGGTGCGTCGACATGGTGTTTGTGGCGCGCCAGCTAATCGAGAAGGCCATCGAACATGATACGCCACTGTATGTCATATTTGTCGACCTGAAGAAGGCTTATGACAGCATACCTCGTGAGGCGTTGTGGCTTGTCCTCGGGAAGCTCGGTATTCCACCTACCCTTCTCAGCTTGATTCGGTCCCTACATGTCGGCATGAGGGCTCGGGTTCGTATATCTGGTCGCTTGACGGAGGACATATATGTTAACAATGGTCTTCGCCAAGGCTGTACTCTTGCCCCCACCCTATTCAATCTGTATTTTGCTGCCGTAATGTCGTCTTGGCGTTCCCGCTCTTCTGTTTTTTTTTTTTTTTTTTTTTTTTTTTTTACTTGAAACCACGCACCCAATTCGTAAAAGAAGAAAGAAGCAGGAAATGACAAAACAACAGACTAACAAGACATGGGCTGCAAATGCAACGCAGCGGTGGTGATGAGGTGCTGCAGGCTCCGCCGACCAATGGTCTCGGCATCCGCGCCTACTTCACGCATCAGAAAATCGGGAGAAGAAGAGAAACAAAAACGATTGAAAAATATATATAGCGAAAAGTATAGTGTGGAGAGAGAGAGAGAGAGAGAGAGAGAGAGAGAGAGAGAGAGAGAGAGAGAGAGAGAGAGAGAGAGAGAGACGGAGAGAGAGAGAGACGGAGAGAGACAGAGACAGAGAGAGAGAGACAGAGAGAGAGAGAGACAGAAAAAGAGAGAGAGAGAGAGAGAGAGAGAGAGAGAGAGAGAGAGAGAGAGAGAGAGAGAGAGAGAGAGAGACAGAGAGAGAGAGAGAGAGAGACAGAGAGTAGAGAAAACAAGGAAAAAGAGAGCAATACCTACATGTAGATACTGAGTTTAGACTGAGTCAGTAGCCCACATCCAGTTCTCGGCGCGCAGGTAGCGGTATACGCGTCTTGAATGCCTGCATTCGGCTGCGATGGGGAGGATGCAGGAGCAGATCACAGGGCAATGCATTCCACTGGTGGAGCACACAGTGGGGAAATGATCGCTTCAGGACTAACGGGGTAGAGGCTGGCAGGCTGGCGTCCAGTTGAAACCGGTGGCCAGCAGCGCTGGCATGGTCGCTCCGGGTTCGCGGGTTGGCCGACTGCTGACGGCGAGCTGGCAGAACCGCGAGAAGTTGAGGTGGGCCCGTAATTACTTGTAGCTTGTATAAACAAGCTAGGGCAGCTACTGTCCGTCTGATTGCCAGACTAGGCAGGATTGCTCCCGGACCGATGATTCCGAGGGCCCTGTGCTGGACTCGGTCCAGTCGGCTGAGGTGGCTGGATGACGCTCCAATCCAGATAAGTGGGGCGTACTCCAGCAGCGGACGGACGAATGCTTTGTACACTGTTATGCGCCCAGCCAGAGGGAGAAGATGAGCTGACCGGCGCAAAAGACCAAGTCGCTGCCTTGCCCGGGTTGCAACAGACCGGAGGTGCTCCCAAAAAGACAGCTTCTGGTCAAAGAGGACGCCTAGGAGGGTGATCGAGTTTGCCTCGGGGACTTGTATTCCGCCAAACATGATTGGCGGGAGGTGCAAGTCAGCTCTTCGGAGCGTTGCAGTCATTGCCTGGGACTTGGTGGGCTCAAATGCAATCTTCCATTTCTGGCCCCAGTTATGCAGCCGATCGATTGACAGTTGCAGTGAGTGCCCTGCACCTGCCGCGCTGCCATTCGACACAATGGAGTAAAGTGTGGTGTCATCTGCGTACGCCTCCAGCTGGGCATCATCCACCAGAACAGAGGGTGCATCATTTACGTACAGTAAAAACAGTGTCGGGCCGAGTATGCTGCCTTGGGGAACGCCCGCAGTTATGGGGTACTGGGTAGACGTATAGCCACCCACCAAGCATCGTAATGAACGTGATGACAGGTACGACGACAGCCATGTGTGGAGTGGCCCAGTGATTCCTGCATTACGTGCCTTATGGAGGACACCAACATGGGACACGCGATCAAATGCCCCAGCAATATCAACAGCGAGGATACGAGCTGCTCCATTTCGCCCGACAGCATTAACCCAGGCATGATGCAGAGCCTGCAGAGCATCAGATGTACCCAATCTTCTCCTGAAACCAAACTGGTGGGAGGTGAGGAGCTGATGGTGTTCCAGATGGTTTGTAACCTGGCTGTTCACAATAGTCTCCATCACCTTCGAGATGATGCTCAGCAACGAAACAGGGCGGTAGTTCTTGAGCACAGAACGCGAAGCCTTTTTGTGGATAGGAACCACGTTTGCCGTTTTCCACATCTTGGGTTGAATGCCTCGCCGGAAGCAGAGGGAAAACAGCTGACACAGTGGTGAAGCTAGTTCTTTGGCACACTCCTTGAGCACCTGTTCCCGGCGTGTCCCTGCGCTCACGCCCTGGCCGGAAGCTTGTTGGAGATCGAACAACCAAGGCGCGACTGAA